ACATGGTAACTTGTAAAACTCGCCGCGTATCAGCGAAGGTCGCCCACCATGCCGCGCCGAGTTCCGCGACATCGTTCCGTTACGCTCCATTCGCGACTCATAATACGTTCACTGAACTTGCCATGATGAACCATGCCAACAACGCAAGTGCAGAGGGAGGTACATTTCGCTGCGATCGAACGAAGGCGCGCGACCGTATCGGATCAATCTGTGAGTTGCGATTAGCGAGAGCCTCCTAATAAGAAGAACTGACGCAACATCCCGCTACCGAAACAGTTATGATGGATCGCCAGCGTTTTTTCCATTAGTCGATCGTCATAACACGCGTCTATTTACATAATGCGCGTACATAATTTACGTACGATTCTCAATGCGATCGAACAGAAAGAAAATGCACGTTACAATGAATGCGTATAAAAATGTAACCAATAGAGCTGAAACGAAAAAATAGAGCGAGATTATGCTTGATGACGCAGTCAAAAAATAGATAGCCGAGCCCTTCTCATTTCACCGTAATCGCTTGTCTAAGAATTTAGACGAGCAAAGAGCTGTCTCGGAAAGACCGGAGAGATCTCCATTTAGATAATGTCCATTTCTGCCGTTGTAGAATAGAAGAAAAGAATTCTAAAGAATTTCCAAATAATATAGAATAAATTAAATCAAAATTTAAAAAGAAAATTCATTCACATGGGTAAAAATGGATATAAGCGAGAGAGAACACACGTTTCTTCGATTAATTCTTTGTTAATTTAATTAACCAACACAATTCTTGATTTCATCAATCATAGACGTAACAGAGGTGCATTCGAACCTACTAATTTTGATTAACATAAGAAAATAGTTCTCTTCTAGTACATGTGGATTAAGAAGAAGCGCGAAATATGATAATCATTCGCGGCATTTTTGCGAAATAGGTTACTCTCGAGGAAACATCCGCATTCTTATTAGAGATGTGCACATCTTATATATATCACACCTATAATATTAAAAGTCAGATAAAATAATTTATATTTAATCAAAGTTTTTCTCAATTTTTTCTCAAAGTTTTTCGAAATACAACTAATTTGTCATTTACTTTCGGTTATTCAATTTTTTAAATATTATTCGTGACTTTTTTATGTTTTTAAAATAAGCATGTATGTATGTACAATCACTACACGCTTCGCCACCACATACGAAATAAATACGTGCGATAACGATATCGATAATAATTAGAATCTAAATCCTTAAAAATATATATTGAATATGACACGAATTACGAGCGCAACCATATTCCATAATGGATATATCGTTGCGAAAGAATTTTAGATGGAACGTTTCGCGGAAATTACTAGAACGCGAGAAAAAGTGATTTTGGATGTGCGTATAATCGAAAAGTTATCAATTTGAAATGTTTCTTCTTTACTGTAAAGTAAAAAACTACGAAAAAATTGCGTTTCGTCCAAATAGATGACCTTTTGGAATTCTTGCTAATCGGCCTGATACGATTGGATAGTTCCATTGAAAATGATAGCAAAGATGAACGGTCATTGGCCGAACGGTTTACCCCCATATGTGTACTCACAGGCTATATAGAAGACCCCGCGAGGAATTTAATCTTCAGAACTGAGAGTCAGTGTCACGGAAATCTACCGAAAAATAACTAAGTGAGTAAAATTGATTTTCATTACTTTCGGACTCTTGCAGGATCGCTTATACATTTATCTATTCATCTATGTATCTATCTATCTATCTATTTATTTATCTATCCATCCAACTATCCATCTATCAATCTATCTATATATATATATATATATATGAATATATTCATATATGTTATGTGCTTGCGTGCGTGCGTGCGTGCGTGCGTGCGTGCGTGCGTGCGTGCGCGCGCGCGCACGTGTGTGTGTGTGTGTGTGTGTGTGTGTGTGTGTGTGTGTAT